AAAAAATAAAAAAGAAAGAAAGAAAAATTAGCCAGGTGTGGTGGCATGTGCCTGTAGTCTCAGCTATTTGTGAGGCTGAAGAGGGAGACCTGTTTGAGCCCAGGAGTTTAAAGGTGTAGTGAGCTGTGATCATGCCACTGCAATCCAGCTGGGCAACAGAGTGAAATCCTATCTCAAAAATAAATAAATAAAAAATGTTTAAAAATCCATGGATCAGTAAGACAAAAAAACAAAACAAAACAAAAAAAACTATGCATGGCTTACTGAATGAAAATTCCAGCAATCTGGGAAGGAACTACATGTGTGTGTACAAGGTCAGGACAAAACCATTGCCCTAAACTTTGGCAATATCCTACAGGATAAGCTCATCAAATGCACAGAGAGGTTTCAGTGAGGCTGGAGAGAATCTCAATGAGGCCCTCTTCAAAACCATCAGGAAGCCGGGCTCGGTGGCTCAGCCTGTAATCCCATGCCTTTGGGAGGCTGAGGTGAGTGGACTGCCTGAGCCTGAGGGTTCGAGACCCGCCCAGGCAACTTGGCAAGACCTCATCTCTACAATAAATCAAAAAATCAGCCAGGCGTGGTAGCGCATGCCTGTAATTCCGGCTACTCGGAAGGCTGAGGTGGAAGGATCGCCAGAGCCCAGCAGGTCGAGGCTGCGGTGGCCGGGAGTGGCCACTGCACTCCAGTCTGGGCGACAGAGTGAGACTCCAACTCAAAAAAAAAAACAAAAACAAAAAAACCCCATCAGGAATGGAACTCAAGTGGAATTTAGGGGAAATCAGAGTTAATTACACAGATCCATCAAGATTAAATATTAAAACACAAATAACCATCTACACTCAGGGATGGCACCTAGCAGTTGATAATGAATTCCAACATATATTCTCCCAACAATCATTAATTCATGCCTGTCATGTGTCAAATGCTTTTTTTTAGCCTGACAGAAAAACTGGTGTGGTCTTTTCCTTATAGGAACACCAGTCTGGCAGGAGTGTCAGATGACAAAACTCAACTACAAAGAAAACTTTCACTTTCACATGTAAAATGAAAGCAGAAAAAAACTAAAATGAGAAAATGAATTTGTTTAAAATAGGTTCATTTATCCTGAAAAAGAATTAACTGTTCCAGCCCGGCTCTGTGGCTCAACCTATAATCCCACGCTTTGGGAGGCTGAGGTGAGTGGATTGCCTGAGCCCACAGGTTCGAGACCCGCCTGGGCAACTGGGCGAGACCTCATCTCTACAATAAAATCAAAAAAATTAGCCGGGCGTGGTAGCGCATGCCTGTAGCTCCAGCTACTAGGAAGGCTGAGGTGGAAGGATCGCTGGAGCCCAGCAGGTCAAGGCTGCGGTGGCCGGGAGCGGCCACTGCACTCCAGTCTGGGCAACAGAGTAAGACTCCAACTCAAGAAAAAAAAAAGAAAAAGAATTAACTATTCCTTTTTCTCTTGTAAGGTAATACTTCTAATCTGTACAAAGGAATACAGCAGTAGAAAACATTTTCAGCAGAAGTGTTAATAAATACTGTAGTGGAATGTGAAGAAATAAAAGAAAGTATCAGCCAGGTGTGGAGGCTCATGCCTATAATCCCAACACTTTGGGAGGTAGAGGCAAGAGGACTGCCTGAACCCACGGGTTCGAGACCAGCCTCAGCAACGTGACAAGACCTTATCTCTACAAGAAATCAAAAAAATTAGCTGGGCATGGTGGTTTGTGTCTGTGGTTCCAGCTACTTGGAAGGCTGAAGTGGAAAGATCACCTGAGCCCAGCAGGTGGAGGCTCTGATGGCTGTGAGTGTGCCACTGCACTCCAGTCTGGGTGACACAGTGAGATTCCGACTCAAAAAAAAAAAAAAGTTATCAATAGACTTCCCTGACTCTAAGCTGCTCATTCAGAAAACTGGTCTTAGGCCAGGCACAGTGACTCAAGCCTGTAATTCCAGCACTTTGGGAGGCTGAGGTGAGAGGATTACCTGAGCCCAGGGGTTTGAGACCAACCTGGGCAATTTGGTGAGACCTCATCTCTACGATAAATCAAAAAATTAGCCAGGCGTTGTAGTGCACGCCAGTAGTTCCAGTCATTTGGAAGACTGAGGTGGAAGGATCACCTGAGTCCAGCAGGTCGAGGCTGCGGTGGCTGTGAGCATACCACTGCACTTCAGCCTGGGTGACAGAGACTCTGACTCAAAAAAAAAAAAAAAAAGAAAAAAAGAAAGAAAGAAAACTGATCTTTCTTGCCGGTTTTGTGGATGGCCTTCTCTTTTAAACCAATTAAAAGCAGACACCACAGCAGAGATTCAACCAATTACTGGGATAGTTCAGTGCATGATGGGATATGTAGTTTTTAGGGGAGCACGTGCAACAATTTAAAGTAGGAAAGATCTTTAATCGAAACAAAAAATTCTGCTCTAAACTAAGTCTAATGGCCAACAATTTTCCAGGAATTCCCACTTTAAATTGCCTCATGACACCACCCAAATTCAGTGACACCCCCTCAAAGTTAACAGCATGATTACATAATTGGTAAGAGAGTTGCTTCCAAAAGAGAACAGGAGTTCCAGAGATGTATAAAGACTATATGTGTAATCAATACTGCCAGTTTGCCACAGAAATGCATGGGGCATAAATACTGTCACAAGCTAAAAACAAAGTGTGTTGCCTCTAGCACATTATTCTAATTCAGGTGGTCTTTACTACTGGACTTTCAGTGCAACCCTCAACAAGTCAGCTGAGCCTGAGGAGCAAAGACCTGAGTCCCAAGCAAGTAAAACTTACACACTAACTTTGTTTTACGAATACTTTTGAATACAGTTTTTTGGGGTTTTTTTGTTTTATTTGGAGTCTCACTCTGTCGCCCAGGCTGGAGTGCAGTGGCCGCTCCCAGCCACCGCAGCCTCGACCTGCTGGGCTCCGGCGATCCTTCCGCCTCAGCCTTCCGAGTAGCTGGAACTACCACTCTCAGCTGATTTTTGATTTATTGTAGAGATGAAGTCTCGTCAAGTTGAATACAGTTTTAAACTAAGGGTCACTGTGTCAGGACTGGAAAAATAAGTACTGCAATTAGCAAGGATATACTGAACTATCCCAATGTTAAGACAATCACTGCTTACTATGGTAATGATTTGGAGGATGAAAAAAAACAAAAACAAAAACTCAGGTTAACTGGGCCAGAAATCTCATTTGCTCTCCCTTCCCCCCCCCCCCAGGACGAATCTACATCCTTGTTTAGTCAAGACACCCTGGAGTATTTCTGCAACACTGGTTACTTTCTCATTGGAGGCTTTTTTGGTCATATTTTAGAAATCCTAATTAAAACGGGCCGTTTGAAGGGATTCAGATGGAATTGCTCTCGTTCACCTACTGTTTCTATTTGACAGAGGTCTCTGCCGGTACTGAGAATCAGCTGAATGCAGACACTGCACACTATGCGATGAACAAAATAATCACCTACCTCAAGAAAGCACTTAGGACCATTCTGCAGCCACTGAGTGACCTTGGCTAGAAACCAATGGCTGTGGGGCGGGGGGCCAGAAGAAAGGAAATACCCTGGTGGGAGCCAGGACTTCTGCATTCGCTTTCACGACAAGGCTTTGGGGACCCTGGTCTGTAGACTGGAGAACGCGAATACCGACTCAGCCAGAAACGGTAAGGACACACATCGAAGTGGGGGAAGGGGACGGCTAAACCCTCTGCAAATAGGAAGTGCCGCAAGAGCACCGAGGCAAGGATGTGGCCCTGCGGGAGAGGAGCCTCGGCTTTTCCTCCTCGAGTCTAGTTCCCAGCTCTCGGCCAGCCGTCTCCAGCTCCCCGGGGATGGGAAACGCGCCGGCCGCAGCCCGGGCCCACTGGGAAGGTGGCGGCGCCGGCGCTGCGCAGGCCCAACCGCTACCC